CCTCACCCATGACTTCTCAGATGTCACCCACACATCTTCAGAACCACGGACGGTGTCATGTACAGAAGGCACTGAAAACACCAGGTATCCACCCTCAGCCCCACCCATGTGTAATTCCAGATGAACACAGCTGTGCAAAGAAGCTGATCTCTGATTATAAATTCTTCAATATTCTTCTTGAGTTATCGAGTATTTTCCGCAAGAAGATTTAACCCATCTCTAGCGTTTACTACTGGATTATCTATAGCCTTAATCACTTAGTTAAGTTCTGACACTGGTCTTTCCATGTGTCCTTCTGTCCTTCCAACAAGTGTTTTGGGCACATTCCTTGTGTTAGTCCTATCATCCAAAGGGATGATGGCTTAAGTGGTCAGAATTTTTATCAGAATTCTAAGTCTTTACATTTATGAAAACAGCTACCAGGATGCCAAAAGCTTTCTTTACGGAGCAGCAGATATTTCAACATGAAAGCATCCAATTCCTACTAACCTTGGCCTTGAAGCCCTGTTTTATCTCGCTGTAGGAAATTGGCTGCCCTGGGTATAAGCTAAAAGATTTCCTTTATTAGCCCCAGTTGCTTCAAGATTGGAATAGAAGCAATTGAAAGGCTGGCTCCCTGGACCAATCCTTGGTCACACAAGGACATCCAAGGGTACCAAGGGCCCCCAATTGTGGGTGGGAGGGTGGGTGATTTGCCAGCTTGTTATTTAGAGCTTATTTGTCCCCTTCTGATAGCCTACAAATATCCTCCCGTCTGCCCCCTTTCAGAGAGGACCATGCATACAACTACCCAAGTCTCACTGCTACAGATCCTCTAAGCTTGCTCTCTCCAAGTTCCTAGACAACCCTGCCACCCACGTCCTCTCCTGTGAATCAACCACAGAGCCATGCTCAAGTCCTCCCTCCTTCGATGGAAGGATCTCCTCACTGACTCTCGGGGCCACCTCCACACCAGGTTGTCACACAGCACAAATAAACCTGACCTTTTTTTTTTTTGTGTGGGGGTAGTGGGAACCAGGGATTGAACTCAGGGCCACTTAACCACGGAGCCACATCTCCAGCCCTATTTTATATTTTGTTTAGAGACAGGGTCTCCCTGAGTTGCTTAACGCCTCGTCATTGCCGAGACTGGCTTTGAATTTGCAATCCTCCCATCTCAGCCTCCTGAGCCTCTGGGATTACAGGCATGCGCCACATTGCCCAGCTTACTTTTTTTCAGTGTCAACAAACCTGACATTTATTTTCCTCCTCTGTTAGCTAACCCTAGAAATTCCTCATGACGTCATTGGTGGGTGGCAAAGCAGGTACAATTAAAGCAGGAAATGGTTCCATGGGCCACTGAACTGGCCACTTCTGCAGTCCATGTTTTTTCTAGGCCTGGTAAGTCCCGGTTTTGAACATAATATTTCTACCTCACTTGGAGTGCTTCTTTGCAACTCTGACTTTAGTATTCAAGAGGTTAGATAGGAATTCATGATGGAAGACTCAGGTCTCCTGAATTTAGGTTTTTGAACTTGTCTCTTATAACTGGTAATTCTGATACTTGAAAGTCCTTGGAAGTCTCCGTCCCTGGTCTGTGGTTCCTGCTGCCTTAACTCATGGTGCCCTTTCCTTATATGCTTTGTCATTTGGGGTCCTGACCTGTGCATTTTCCCTGGAACTTTGTCCAATTAACTTGATTGAGTCTTGGGTTCAATGTCTACTCTTTCATTTGCTTCTGTAGGACATCTTTGACGCTACGAGTCCTGGGACAAGTTAAGCTAAATTATAAACCACTCAGGTGAAGACTGGGGTTGTGGACAGTGGTCAGCACTTGCAGAGCATGTGTGAGGCGCTCTGCACCACACAAAACAAAATAAAGGTATTTGTCCATTTAAAAAAAATGTTTAGAGATACATGATAATATATCTTGTTTTTAAATTGCTAGATTACAAGAATTACAATTCTTAATTATAATACTCAATTGCTGCCTAAATTTCAACAGATAAATATACTCAAAACTTAATTAGGCATAATTGAACATTTAGTTTACTTCTGATTTTTTTCCTATGATGTTTCTTCTTCTTCTTCTCTTTTGGGGGTGGGTGCTGGGGTCTGAACCCAGGGCCTCACACATGCTACGCATGAGCTCTGCCACTGAGCTACACCCGCAATCCAAATAAGTACATTTTAAAAGTCACTTTTAAACTGGAATTTTCAAGCAGTCTTCAGTATTTAAAAGAAACTGATCACTTCAGGAATTGAATTTTCAAAGTACGTAATTAGGGTACAATTTTCTTTACTAGCCATTATTTATATCTCACTTCTGATGTTATCATTAAGTAGTTCCCCAACTTAGTGGCTCCAAATCCCTAGTAGCTTTCAAAATTGTTGCCATGCCCCCGTGAACAATCACACAGCCACCATGCACAGACTAAAGGATGGATAACCATATGTCCCGTATATCATGTACCTCTAGGCGGCAAACTTCTGAAGATACTATGGTGATTATTAAAATATAAATAACTTGTCACTCTGTAGGTTTTCCACCAATACAAAAAGTACAACTGTTATTGTGTAAACATCAGTTAAAAAGGGTGTGGGGCGCAGGGTAAATAAAAAATACTGCTGATAATGGTGAGAAAAACCAAATGTGGGGAGGTTAAACTTTATTCCCATTTTATTTTATTAACAAAATAATATATTCAGATATAATTCCAATGACAAAAATTTAACTCATTCAAAGTATACAATTCAGTGGTTTTTAGGGTATTCACAAGGATGTACAACCATTACCACAGTCTAATTTTAGAATATTTCATTCCCATAAAAGAAACCCCATTAGCAGTAATTTTATATTCCTTTTCCAATTTGGCCCCTGTCAACCTCTAATCTACTTTCTATACCTATGGATCTGCCTATTCTGGATATTTCACATAAATAGAATCACACAATATGTATTCTTTTGTGACCGGCCTCTTGGCATAACGTTTTCAAGGTTTATCCATGTTACAGCATCTGTCTATCAGTACTTCATTTCTTTTTATGGTTGACTAATATTCTACTGTATGGATATACCACATTTTGTTCATTCATTCACCTCTAATTGTACACTCATTCACCTCTAATTGTACATTTGGCTATTATGAAAGATGCTTTCATAAATACTTCTGTACAGGTGAAAAAAAAATAAACCACTTAAGTACCAAAAATTCTAGCTGAGACTACATGAGGACCAGTTTAAGGTTGTAAATTTTCAATGGAGTTTTCTTTTTTTTAAACTGTATACCCAGCACCAAATTCAGAGCCGGGCAATTTTCCTTGATAACATCTTGTAAAGAAGGACCATGCAGCTGGTTTATCCTTTCACAGCGGATGTAACGCTTTCAGGACTGAGATGTATGTCAGAGTCTCCTACTAGACACAGGTTTTCAAATCCCAGGCACGGTCTCCTTTCCGGTGCCCTCACCTCCCTGCTCAAAGTCCAAACCCCAAGGTCACCTGATGCACCAAATGCCTCCAAGACAAAGTTGGGATTCGGGAACTGCCTTCAGAAGAGTGCCTGCCTTCCCCTGGCCTTAATATTCTTCATCTTGTTTTCTTGCAAGGTCAAGGTGCTCAAGAAGTTTTATTGTATATTTTAACCAGTTTTATTGTATATTTTATTTTATTGTAAGTTTTATCGTATATTTTAAATTGTTTTCAGTGAGAAGTTCAGCCCAGGTTCTTAGACCTACATTCCCCCCCACACACACACAGATTCGGAACTAGCATCTTTCTCCAGATCCTAAGCTTTGTTGGTGAGGTTCTGGGTGGCAGCATCAAAGGAAGGAGAAAAGGAGATAATCCTCAACGGATGAACCCACCACTCAGTGTCTAAACCCAAGATGCTGAAACAGCCACTTCCTTAAATACAGGAGGACCGTGCTGGCCAGGCACAAGCTCTGTATGCAGAGCTCGGTGTTGAGCTTACGTCGCATTTGGAAGGAGCATTTGGAAGACCTGTGTTGGTTATAGATGTGAGAATGGGTTGGTGACGCTGTGTACCCTGAAGCGAGCTCTACTGATTGCAAAGTCATTTCAAAACATAATACTGCCGGGCGCAGGGGACAGGGGCTGGTAGGGGGCACACCTGTAATCCCAGTGGCTTGGGAGGCTGAGGAAGGAGAATTGCGAGTTCAAAGCCAGCCTCAGCAACAGTGAGGCGCTAAGCAACTCAGTGAGACTCTGTCTCTAAAAACAATACAAAATAGGGCAGGGGATGTGGCTCAGTGGTCGAGCGCCCCTGAGTTCAATCCCCAGTACCTCCCCCACCCCCTCCAAAAAAAAAAAGGTGATTATGATGAAGAATCAGAAAAGTAGAGAAAGATAATGAGTGAAGTGTGGCTTTGAAAATGTAGAACTCAACAGGAAGAAAGAAAGAAGATTAGTGGAAGATAAAACATAAAAAACAAAATTAGAACTTTTGGTTGAAACGCTAACATTGGTTGTCGTGGCGGGTAATAGCCTCCTAGATTTTTTAGGACTTAAAGGATTTCCGCAGTCACCAATGACAACCGCATGTAATATTCAAATTCCTCAGTGATAACCAACCAACAAACCCCCAACCTCACAACCTGAAACTTTGACAGGATAGTTTATCCCACATTCATTGGCTCTCTCTTAGTTCCATAAACTGAGCCCAAATTTGTCTACAAGATTTCCACCTACTGCCTTACGACCCATCCCACGAGTCCCAGTCCCCTCTGAGTCCTGGCTCGGCTGCACCCTTCAACCTTCCCTTACTGGTCTCAGCTTCATTCTCCCCCTCCCCCTGCCCATCTTCACTACCTGGTCCAGGTGCTGTCTCACAGGGCTGAGTCCAGAAGGGACAGACAGCTCACCACACAAAGCTCAAGTCCCTTGCTGAGAATTCCCACGGAGGAAAGACAGACCACGGTGGCAGGTGCATGAATTTTAATGAAGGGGAATGATGGCAGGTCTGGGTTTCCAGAGAGTCTGAGGAGGGTGATCACCAACATTCAGGGTATCTTGGGCCAGTGCTTTGCATAGGACAAAACACCAGGTTCGTCTTTGCCAGCCACGTTGATCCTCATGAAGGACTGGAGACAGCACGATTGGTAATTTCTGCAGTAGAAGTAGGTATGCTCTATCTTCCTGCAAGCTGTCCTGCAGACGCCCATGCTGCCCATGCATCGAAGGAGGGAATGTCTTCCTGGACAAAATAGAAAATAACRTGACAGTAATAATTAATTTCCACTCAGCAGTGACATAGATCTGATGTGTCCGGGAGCATCATAAAAACCTAAAGGTTGACAGAGACTTCCACTTCCAGAAAAACAGTGCCAAAGYCATTTTCTCTACTTGTCTTCTTAAAACCCTGGCATTATACATAAATATAAGAATCCTCTGAAAGGTAAAGAGAAGTCAAGCCAGGCAGGGAACACAAGACCTGAGGAACGATCTCGTAGGTTTGATTTTGCCTCATATATTCCAGGATGGTGCTGGAGAAGCTGGCAATCTGGAAATACATATGGGTGCAGAGATTTTTTAGAAGAAGAAGGAGGAGGAGGAGGAGGAGGAGGAGGAGGACGAGAAGAAGAAATCCCCAAGAAAATTCTGCTCTTTCTAGTCCAAAGACCAGGAAAAGGACAGCCTAGCAAAACAGAACGTTTTAGACAATAGCCACTTTGCTCCAAAAAAACATAGAAAAGTCTACAGCCCCATTCATACCTCTAGTAAATATGGCCGAGTGGAGAGCTTAGACTTCCGCCCTTTCTAGAATGAAAAGAAGCGCTGCCTCCAAGGATGGTAGCTGAGAAACCTGAGTGACATCCTGGACCTTGCCCCCTGCTGGGCAGTAACCACCACCACCAGGTCAACAGAAATCACGTGGGAGTCTCAGCTTCCCCTGCCAAGTGGGAAGAGGGCATCCCATCTTGCCTCAGGCAACAGTTACAGGGCCACCAGCCCCTGCGATGTCACAGGCAGGCCACGTGGGGAACCAGGGTGGTGTCGGAGGAGGCACACCTGGGAGCTGGAACTGGGCGGTGGCAGCCTGCAGTAGTGAGGAGCCCCCTCMCCCCTCCTACCTCCGTGTCAGAGGAAGCCGGGTGCAGACACTGGACTTCTATCCCTCCTGGAATAATGGAGGCCGTCCTGCTGGCCTGGCCATAGCAGTGACAGAGCAGGCGGGCTAGCACTGCTCGGATCCTTGGAACAGGACCCAGAATCCCAGAGCCTAATGCTCAAGGTTTCCATCAGAAATTATTCATTCTACTAAAAACCAGGAGCATCTCAACTAGAATGGACAAAGGACAGTCAATCAAACTGGGGCTCCCTCCAAGCTGTCAACCACTAGTTCACCCCTTTTAATTCTCAGTAATACTCCATAGTATGCACGGTGCACAGTTTACTACAGAGGGCGTTTTGATTGGTTGCTTCATTTTGGTTTTGTTTGTTGTTTGTCTGTTTGTTTGTTAGCGGTGCAAGGCTTGAGTCCAGGGTCTTATGCCTGCTGGGCAAGCAACTGTTCCTCCAAGGTACCCTCTCCTAGCYTCCAGGTTTTTACTACTAAAAAATAAAACTGCTATGAAMATTCGCCTACCAGCTTTGGTGAGAATGTAAATTTTCATTTTTTTAAAATAAATACCCTAGATTATGTTCAGCAAATGTATGGTCAGAGTTTATTTTATTTTTTTAAGAAATGGCAAGGGACTCAGGATRTGGCTCAGTGGTGGAGCATTTACCTAGCATACACGAAGCCCTGGATTCAATCCCCAGCACTGCCAAAAAAATGAGAAACAGCTAGACTATTTTCCAGAGTGTTGGACCATTTAACATTATTACCAGAACTATATGAGAGACACAGTTTCTCTGTAAATCCGATGGCATTTGGTATTATCMCTGTTTTTAATTTTCACTGTTTTATAGTTACATAGTAGAATCTGTTCCTAGTCTTAATTTGCATTTCCCTAATGGTTAATGAGGTTGAACATCTTTCCATATGCTAATTTGCCATCTGTATAACTTCTGCAGTGACATGACGTTTCGTATTTTTTGTCCATTTTCTTATTAGATTTTTTTTACTGTTCGTTTTGAGACCTGTCTCTGTACTCTAGTATAAATTCATTGTCTAAAACACAGTTTGCCAATATTCTCACCCAAATGTAATTTATCTTTTCCTGAGGTCTTTTGTAGAATGAAGGCTTTAAATTATAAATCCAGTTTATTATTTTTTTTCTTTTATACATTGTGCATTTTTGTATCTAAGAACTCTTCACCAAGACCTAAGTCTGAAGGTTTTTTTCCCATGTATTCTTCTAGAAGTTTTATAGTTTTGTATTTTATGCTGAAAGCTACAATCCATTTTGAGTTCATTTTTATATAAGGTGTAAGACAAGGTTTATGTCAAGGGTTTTTTGTTTGTTTATTTGTTTGTTTTATTTTATTTTTTCCCTATATTTTGGGGTTTTTTTTTTTTCACCTGTAGATGTCCAATTACTCCTGTGCCATTTGTTGAAAAGAACAACTTTCTTCCATTGAGTTACTTATGTACCTTTATTAAAAAATCATTTGTTGCTTTATAGATACACACACAGGGAAATGCACTGTGGTGGATTCATATATATGAACATCACATAATTTGGTTGATTTCATTCATTCAGTTCCTCCCTTTTCCCGTCCCTCCTCCCTCCCCTCTAACCTCTTCCTCTCCTTCCTAATTAGCCCTTGGTTCATGGAATCCCCGACTTTCCCCCTTATTTTCCTCTAGTCTCCAAATATGAGAGAAAACATCCAACCCTTGACTTTCTGAGTCTGGCTTATTTCACTTAGCAAGCATCAATTTTTTAAAAAATCTTACAAATAAATAGAAAGAAAACCAATAGAGTGGAGGAAGGGGGTGCAGGAAGAAGAAACACCGGGGACTGAAGTGGAGGCAATTATATTCCATGTATGTATGATTATGTCAAAAAGAACTTGACTGGGCTGGGGGTATGGCTCGGGCGGTGGCGCGCTCGCCTGGCATGCGTGCAGCCAGTTCGATCCTCAGCACCACATACAAAGATGTTGTGTCCGCCAAGTACTGAAAAATAAATATTAAAAAAATTCTCTCTCTCTCTCTCTTTAAAAAAAAAAAGAACTTGACTATTATGTGCGATTACAATGCACTTATAAAAACATTTCTAAAAATCAGTTGGCAGTACTAGTGTTGGATTTCTGGGTAGGTCCCTGTTCTATTCCATTGATCCATGTGCCCGTCTCCCCACCAAACCACAGCCTTGAGTACTACACATATAGTAAATCTTGAAATCTGATAGAATGATTCTTGTAATTTTAATCTTTTTCAACTTTATTTTAGTTATTCTCATTCCTTTGCAAATTTATCCTCAGACAAAATAACTGAATAATCTTGTCTATGTCTATAAAAACATCTTACTGGAAATGTGATAGGAATTGTGTTAAATGTATGTACCAATTCAAGGAGAATGGACATGTTTGTTAGTTGAATCTTACAACATATAAACACCATCTCTTCATTTATTTTAATCTTTCTTTATTTCTTTTGTCAGAATTCTGTGGTTTTCTGCACACGATTTTTTTTCCCAATATACTCCTAAGCATTTTATTTTTCTGGAGTGATGTATTGTATTTGTGTATTGTTTATAATGATGTTGTATTTCTAATTTCAGTGTCTACATGTTCATTCTATTCTACAGAAATACAATTGATTTTCGTATGTTTATCTTGTATCCTACTACCTTGTTGAACTTTTTTTTTTTTTTTAAAGAGAGAGAGAGAGAATTTTATTTATTTTTTAGTTCTCGGCGGACACAACATCTTTGTTGGTATGTGGTGCTGAGGATCGAACCCGGGTCGCACGCATGCCAGGCTAGCGCGCTACCGCTCGAGCCACATCCCCAGCCCTACCTTGTTGAACTTATTAAAGTTCTACATGTTTTCATTTTGGTAGATTCCTTGAGTCTTTCTACACAAACCATGATGACATCTACAAAATAAACAGTGTTATTTCTTTTTTATTTCTTTCTCTTGCTCCTTTTTGTTTGTTTGTTTTGGAAAGTGCTGGGGATAGAACCCAGGGCCTTGTGCATACTAGGCAAGTACTCTACCATTGAGCTACATCCCCRGCCCTCTCTGCCTTTCCTTATGTTGTTTTGAAACAGGGTCTCACAAAGTTGCTTGGCCTGGCCTCTGAACTCACTGTCCTGCTACTCAGGTTTTTTCCCACAGAAAATGATTTTGTCAAAATCACCAATAAACTCTACATTGCTAAATTCAAAAACCAATTATCATTGGTCATTTACCCCTTCTCAAGTAGCTGACATTACAAGCATGTGCCATCACACTGGGCAAGACAGTTTTATTTCCTAATCTCTATGCCTTTTATTTTCTTTTTTGCTTCTAGAATTTCTCAGAAGTCAAAGGAACAAATTTGATACAGCTTGCTGCATTAAAAAAAAACTCAAAAGTTCACATATGATTCTATTTTACAACAGCTTTAAAAAGATGAAACTATAAAGAGGGGCTGGAGGGTTATCTCAGTGTACACCCCATGCTCTGCATGTGCTGGTCCTGGGTTTGATCCCCAGCACAAAAAGAAAGAAGCAGAAGGAGAAGAAGTGGCGGTAGGGGAATGAGGAGGAAGAAGAGGAGGAGGAGGAGTAGGAGGAGGAGGAGAGAGGAGAAGAAATTCATAGTTACCAGGAGTTAAATTTAGTGGCAGGACCAGGGAGAAAAATCAGTGCAACTACAAAGGAGTATGGGGAGTCCCATGTCTTGATCATGGGCCCAGGGGTGGGAGGGGGGGGTACATAATCTACACCTGTGACAAAATAGTGTAGAAATTTATACACACATTGTACCAATATCAGATTCTTGKGTTTTATTGTAGTTATATAAAATAGAACTATAAGAGGAAACTGGGTAAAGGGCACACAGGATCTCTCTCTTGCAACTTCCTGCAAATCTATTTCTGTCCCTCTCTCTCTCTCTTACCCTTTTCTCGTCTCTACCATGTAAACTGTAATAGTATTTAACTCCTAGAACCGTCAGGATTAAGGACAGTAAATGGAAAGCAATGAGGGACTAGCACAGAGTAAGAACTAAGCCAGTGTGATGTGTTACTGTTGTTCTTATTAGGAGATGAAGGGTCTTTGCTGGAGGAGTCATCTTTTCCTAGACTTCAACTATGAACAGTTTGAGAGGATTCCCGTGAAGGCTGGGAGTGTAGCTCAGTGGTAGAGCGCTTTGTACAAGACCCCCCACTCAATCCCCAGCACAGGAGAGAAAATATTCAATGACTTTAGACAGACAATAGTCCCTTAGTGATAGCCAGAGATTCTGGGGTGAGACTGAGCCCATGGAAGAAACAGAGACGAGGTTCCTGCTCTGTAGTAGACACTGGAGAAATGTTAGCCATTAGCATTATTATTATACCCCCCTTGGGGTTGAGTCCTCCAAAACACAAATGATCCTTCATCAAAAAGAAAATTGAAATAATGACCATTACCATTTACTGAGCATCTACTATGAGCCACTGGATCTGTGCGAAGTCATTGAATCCCTCCAACAACCTTATGAAGCACACTCCTTCATTTTATTTCCTTGCTTTATGAAATCAAGACTCAGAGAGAGGCGATGTTCTGGCAAAKGCTCCACAGCTCTTAGAAGCAGAGCAAGGACTCCTGTACACAAAGCCCATACTCTAATGCATAGTGCTTCCTGTCTGCATGTTAGGCCCCGGCTGCATTGGTTGGTGACAGCTGAGGTCATGGTTCTGGGTTTCTTCAGTGTCAAAGCCAAACTTCCGAACCTGGTATTCAAGGACCTTTCACTCATTCCACAAACAGTTGTCAGCACCTGGGATTTGCAGGCCTTAAACTTGGCATTAGGCACACAAGGGCCCTATGTCCCAACGGATTTAATACACACAGCAGAGGCTGAGTTGAGCTTCGGTCTCCTTAGCAGGCCTGCTGGTCACTCCCAGGGAGGATCCAATGCAGAGGCCTGGTCTTCCCTGCTTTGAGAAAATCATTCTGGGAATGCCACTAAACCCTCACCCCAGGTGGGCTGGCTCTCTGCTGGCAATGTCCCATCCATCCTTGTCACCCCTCTGCCTACAAGGGAGGCAAAGGGAGATTCAAGGAAGCCTTACAAAAGCAAAGTCGCCTTCTATCACATCCTCTAGAGATAAGGTCCTTCCCTTCTGCCTTGAGGACAAGGTTCCATCTGCATCCAAAGGTGTGGCGAGCAGACCAGCCAGCCTGCTCTGTGATTTCCCTCTGAAGAGAGGCCACGCAGCCCCAAGCAGGGATTTGAGAGTGAAGACGTTGGTCAGGGGCTTTGCCACTGCTGAACACATCCCCACCCTTTGACTCTGTGACTCTTTGGGTCTCTACTCACCAATTACCCACAACTACTGCATGCCACCCTCGATGCGCCTCCCTCTTGCCAGAAGTCGAAGAAGCTGCTTCATTAATCCCAGCATTGTCTCCAACTTACAAAGGAGCGTCAGCCACTTCTCCCCSCCCTCCCCAGGCCTGTGTTCCCATCTGTGAAATGGGAAAATAAGGAAAGGTTGCCTGGGAGCCCCACAGTTTTGAGGGCTATAAAGAATGTAGGAGGTGTAACAGGGGGATTGAGGGGTGACACCTTATCTCCCAAAGGAAGAATCAGAGGGAATTTCTAAAATTCCACATGCCCAAATCCCAAATCCAGACATTCAGGCCCAGGGTTGACTGTCATCTAAAAACTTCCTGGGGCTCGATGGTGACATCTGAGCCTTCTGTCACTCCCTGGGGTCACCTCTGTTTTCCCGGTGTTAAGCTCAGAGGAGGCACCAAGGAATGATTCAATGAATGAATTTGGTGGGGGCTGAATGGCCACACGTGGGCAGGTTACTGCCAGGCCCCAGATATTGAGGAACCTTGTACCGCCCCAGGCCACCTTCCACACTGTGAAGTCTGTGTTTCAAGAGCAAACCAGCTGAGAAATAATACGAAGCCCAGGAACTCCTCCACGTCCTAACAGTCCTGGCCAGAGTCGTATCTACCTGACGCAGTGGCCCTCTGCCCAACAAGGATCCCAACGGGTTCCTGGAGCCCGACGCCAGCCATTTGTGCTCCCTCCAAACGTGCTCAAGCTTTCGCTTGTAAATTCGCTGTTCGTCTGTTCAGTCTGTCAAGAAACACTCATGATGGCATCCTTGCTGAGCCCTGGGCTGCACGCTAGGTGCAAGTAAGATGTCCCAGCCAAGTTTCAGGGCTTGGTGGGAAGACACAGTGATTCAAATAATTGCACAATAATGGGACACATGCTGTAACTTCTTAAGAGTGGCCATTTGGGAAGCCAATCAGAACTCAATTTGAACCCACCTACAGAGGTGAGATAAAAATCTAGGGTAAGAAGCCTGGAACAAGGCACATGAATGTAATCCCAGCGACTCAGAAGGCTGAGGCAGGAGGATTGCAAGTTCAAATCTCGCCTCAGCAACTTAGCAAGGCACTGAACAACTCAACAAGATCCTGTCTCTAATAAAACATTAAAATAAGGACTGGGGATGTGACTCAGTGGTTAAGCGCCCTTGGGTTTAATCCCTGGTACCAAAAATACGTGTGTGTGTGTATATATATATATATATATATATATATATATATATATATATATTAAGAAGACAAATGGAGGCTTTGTATCATATGTCTGAATGCTTCAAAGTTATGAAATGAGTTAATGAAAGAAAAATGAAAAGTATTCTGTCCCCTTTTATGAAATAGTCCTTTGTAATGACCTGAAATGTCAGACTTGGATTTAGATTCTTGGCTTTCTCAGAGTTTCGTGCACACACAAGGCATGAGGGCAGCCCCCACCCCACTTCTACCACATGCCAGCCCTGCTCCCCACCATGAAGAGCCTCACACACGTGGACATGGGGCTCCAGCTGGACCCTCCACACTCTGCCCAGGGCCCCTGCAAACAGGAGTGCATGCTGGCATTCCCTTGCCTGGGCTGCACCTTGGGAACAGGCTCCTGCTGCCCCTGGAAGCAGGCACAAGAGTTCTGCAGGCGCTTGAAGCCCAGTCCAGAAGCAGGGAGGGCAATCGCAAGCTCTGGGCGGACATGTCCCTCTTGCCCCAATAAGTCCTCATCCCACTGGGAGAACCTCATTTGGAAGAAGCCCAGGATAGGACCAGGATCAGAGGAGGGGTCTTTCTTTCCAGGGTCTCAGAACAGAAATATTGAACTAAAGGCAAATGATCTTCCTACACCAGAGTGAATTTCTTCCATCTGTCTCTAGGTGGTGGCCCATGTTTCAGAGCACTCCAGGTCCCAATGTCAGTCAGCAGGGAACCACTGTGTGGATAACTGAGGCCCTGATCATGGAATCTGAGATAATAACATCTGGGAAGACACCCAGGTCTGCTAGGCTCCCAGTCAGGATTCTTAAGGATTCCCCCTGAGAGAGTCTCCCTGGGGCTAAATTATCCATTCGAATGAGTCGGGCTCTGCCTCCCCCAGTCTAACGGCAGTTGAAGAGCAGGCAGCTCGTGTTCCGTGAATGCCTAAATAAATCAAGGAACGATGGCAACAGCTAGCATTTATCAAGGACTCACGATGCATGGGGCCTTGTACATGACCCCGTGTCATCCCTGCCATGACCCTGAGACGGATCATTACTCTAACCTCCCTTTGGGGAAACTGAAATTGTGAGGGGTTTGGATACACCGTCTGCTAGTGCTGAGTGGCAGACCTCACCTGAACGAAAGAGCAAGTCAATGCATGAAAGAATGTTTTTAAAAATTGAATAATGAACAAATTCATATGTAAATGAGTAAATTCAGGTACTTTATCATTTTTTAGTACTTGGGAACCTTCTGGCCCCTGGGGCTGGGGACTCTGGAGCATCCCCAAGGCCTCTGAGCTTCCATTCCTAGAAACCCGAGGACTGGGGCTCACCTAGCCCCTGTCTACCCCCTCCCCTCTCCCCTCCAAGGTGGACCAACTCTTCCGGCCTGAGGGTTGTCCCACTTTATAGTCACCTGAGGTGCCTTTAAATCTCTTGCCCTCTCCCACACCTGATGCTACACCCCCTCCCGGGGCCGCCAGATAAGGAACCATCTTCAAAGCTACCATCATCACCATTTGCTCTGACCCAGCCCTGATGACTCTCTCTCCTAACTCCCGTCCCTTCCTGCCATTTCCCCTGCCTCCATCCGTTTGGGGGACCCCTCTTTTTGACTGACAGGACACAAGCAGCCCATGTGTGAGTTTTAATGAAGCGTGGAAACTAAGAAGTCTGAAGCAAAATCAACCCCGGCCATGTTTTTTGTTTTTCTTCCTTTTGCGGAYGGTCGTGGGGACGGTGGTGGGCACGGTAGGTGTGGTCCAGTCAAGGACGTAATCGATTGTTATTGGTTTCATTGTCACAGAGCGACTAGGGACACAGCACCGTTTGCGATTTACGCAGCGTAAGACATGATCCTCGTCATCGTTGCACACCAACCGGCAGTGTCCGTGACTCCAACACTCCGCTTCTGGGCGCGGGAACAACCAGGAAGCAGATGTTAGTATTGCTAAGAGAGAGACCGAGGTGGAGGAGGAACCGAGGGAGGGGAGAAGGCCAGAGAGAGGGCTGAGTAAGCCCTGCTGGACGCGGTCCCAGGAAGTGGGAGAGGAGACCTTGGGAGAGGAAGGAACTGAGCGATGATTCCCACTGGGAACGCCAGAGCTTTCTGGAGGACAGTTTCCAGACTTCCCACCCTGGGTCTCCCGACCCCTAACTCCTGCTTCTTACTTAGGGATCAGTTGATACAAATCAAGGGAACAAAGCATGGGAACGTTGGGAACAAGACAATGTCCACCTCTGACACTCAGGGATGGAGATTCCCTCACATGAAGCAATCCCAGCTCCTCATCCACAGCCTGGCCCTGTAACAGGGCCCAGCAAAACTCAGCTCCAGCCACAACCCAATGTCCAATCCTTCTGAGCCCGGATTCTCCCAGTTCAAGCTCAAATGCAGTTGACACCCAGCCTTACCCTGCTCAGTGCCCACTGAGCCCTAGCTGCAAACCACATCCAAATCTAATCAAGCCACCAACCGCAACTCCCAGCAGATGCCCATCACCAAGCCAAACCCAAGCACTCTGCACCCTGCGGCACTGACTCCCAGCCTCAGGTCAAGCCCAGCCAGAGGCCCAGCACCAGCACCACTCAAGCCAAAATCCTGTTCCCTCTCCAACTCCCCCAGACCATGGGGAAGCCCCCTCTTCCAGGTCATCCTAATATTCCCTTTGCCACTGCAAGCCCACAGCACAGGTCTCCCTCACTAGGACTCACCCCCAGCCTTCATTCTAATCTCCCAGAGCCCCCGACCTGCACCTTCCTGCCTCAGCCCTCTCCCCCAGCTCCCACCAGAAGGCCATCCTGCCTTGAAGCACCTGATGCATTAAACAGCTCTCATCCCCCCACTCAGCAAGAGAGCATCGGGGAGATGTGAACACGAGAGGATCCTGGGAAACCCTCCCAAAGCGCCAGGAAATGAGGAGAGACTCGGGGGCTGCCCACAGTGAGAAGAGAGCAAAAGGGGACAAGCCCATGCCCAAGATCCCAGGCCCGAGAGAGAGCCCCAGTTACCTGACATCACGGGTTCCACAGCCAGAAAGATGGCTAGGAACAGGAGAAGCAGCTTCATGGCTGTCAGGCCCCGGGAGAAGGTGGTGGCTGAGCTGCGGGGGACACAGACGGAGCTCTCTGCAGCAGAGATGAGACACTCTTTATCACCAGGGCCGCGGGCAGTGAATCAGAACAGGAGGGAATCTGTCCGAGGTCAGCCGGGCCAAAGGACAGTGTGTAGCAGATGTCTCAGCACATCTCAAATAAGAGCATGGGACTCGGGCCAGCACCGTGCCAGGAGGGGTGAGCAGGCAGGTGAATTAAAGCCATCTGGCCTTTCGAGACCCACGGAGGAATCCACTGACTAACTGATATACGAATACACGTCAAGAAACATTTAATGTGAAAAATGACTTACCCAGCTCTCTAACAGAAGGACACAAGTGTCAAAGTCTTCCTGGACCTTGACCTTGCCAATCTCATTTCCAGTTCAGGGGAATGGGATTTGTCACTTGTGGTCCATATAAGTTCTTCCTCTGATCTTCCCACGGATGGCTCCTGCTAGTCATTTGATCTCATCTCAAATGTCACCCCTTTGGAGAGGCTTTCATCAGTCACTCTAGAAGACGGTGCTCACACCCTTCATTGTTCTGGTTCACAATAGCTTGTTTGTGACCTGCCTGGATTTGCCTGGGTGGTTTTATTTGCTTTACATGGTTAACTTTTGTTTCTCTCATTAGAATCCGAAACTTGTCTTGAGTGAGGGGGATGTGATTTGAGTGTGTTCCCTGAAATCTTCACATGCTRGAAGCTTGGTGCCCCGTGCGGCTGGGCTGAGAAGTGGTAGAATATTTAAGAGGTAGAGCCTGGTGCAAGGTAGTTAGGTCATGGGGTACCATCACCCTTAGAAGAGATCTCAAGGGACCCTCGTTAGTTCCCAGAGAGTGGATTGTTATAAAATAAAAAGTGAGCTTGACCCCTAAATCTCTCTGGCCTCTCCCATTGCCGTGTGATCTCTTCCTCATGTACTCTACCATTGGAATACCATCTACCATGAGGCCTTCACCAAGRGTAGAACATACGGAGCTGCCTGATCTTGGAATTTCCACCTCCAAAATGCATGATAAATTAACTTCTTTTCTTTATAAAATATCCAGCCTTGGGTGTTTTGTTATAACAACAGAAAATGGACTAATACAGCTAATAATACTAGTATCCACCACATCACCTGGTGTAGTGAGGTATTAATTCAGCTGTCTTATTAGATGTTGCTTTCAAACAATGGTGCCAAAATACATCCGTTGATTTCTCTTTCATGTAAAAGTCTGTGTGTGCACTTAATTGCAGCAGCTTCACAATCCAGCAGGGAGCTAGGCTCCTTTTGACTTCATGGTCCATCTTCAACAGGCAGCTTCATTTGATGACCCAAGGGCTAGTCCAGTTCCTACCATCAAGTCCCCATTCCAGCCATCAGGAAGGAGGGAGAGGAGGAAACAAAGTGTAACAGTGTTTTCTTTAGGGACACCATTCAGAGGTGGTACACATTGTTTCCACCCCAGTCCAGTGGCCAGAGCTCATTCCCAGCACACCTACCTGCTGGACATGTTCTCTTTAATCTGGACAATGACGGCTAGCTACAGTTCAGGGGCTGCCCAATCAAGATGGGAGGACCGACACCAGGGAAGAGAGAGCCTTCTCTGACATTCCTGACATGAAATATAAAATAAGATTTAATCACATAACAAATATGAGTAGATAGTAAATACTAAATGTCCATCATTGCAGTAAATAATTGCAGACAATAATAAATAACTTAGACTGAGTAAAAAGTGACGTAATGGGGACACAACCCCAGTCCTGTCAGAGAACACGTGGGATGGGGGTGTGGCGCAGTGGTGGAGCGTTTGTCCAGCATGTTCAGGGCCCTGGGCTCCGTCCCCAGCACCACCAAAACAGAGAGAGAGAGGACACACGTGGACTGTGCCCCTCCAGCCAAGTGTCTGGAGAATCTGGACAAGGGGCATATTTTGGGCAGAACTAAACTAGAGACTATGAAGGTGGATAAGGGAAGAAGAGAATCCATTAAATACTTGCTGAGTGCCAGGCTTGAAGCACAGGTTTGGTTTAGCACAGACTTAGACTGTGCTCGGCCCTGACTCTCGCCACCTGGAGACCTTGAGGAAGTTGAATGTTCTGATCCTCCTGTAATTAAAAACAAGTCATAACTGCACCTGATTTAATTAACTGGGGTCATTTCTGTCAATTGCTTGGCCAAGTCCCCAGCACAAGAGAAGTTTGGAATAATTATTAACTACTCTTATAATTGTTTTGGATTCTCGTTATGATGGTCATCATCGTGGACCATCAGTATTATCTTCAGACCAGAGCTGAGAAGTGGACGTGGTTCACCCCCACGCGCATGTGACAAAATCGAGACTCGGTTGGGTGCAGGGACCTGCTCAAGGGATTTCCAGGAGAGATGAAGAGCAGGAAAAAAAGAAAGCAGATTTCCATGGAAAAGGATGGAAGAAATGGTCAGCCAACAGCTGTGGTTGGGAAGGTTTGAGCCAGGAGGGGAGACCTAGGAGGGGAGACATAGGAGGAGGTGAGATTGCATGACCAGATCATCACATGGGGACTTAAAGCCATGCTCGGGGCTCAAAGGTGCATCTCATAAGTGATGGGGTGTTATAAGGTTTTTTTAGAGAGGACCCTGATGGCATGTTCAGATTATTTATATATTTATAAAAATCTGACAACCCACATTGAAGATCATCCCTGGGGCAGAGGCCAGGGAGGGAAGATTAGTCAGGAAGGTATTTCAAGTCCCCAGGATGAAATGACAAGGCCTGAGAGGGGTTGGGAGGGGGGCAAACATAAAGGATGTGAGAGAAGAAAACCCATCGCCGACCGCTGGAAACTCCCAGGGCCACCCACCAGGCTGTGGAAGAAGCCCTGTCCAGCTGCTGGGCACTGACCTTCTGCTGGGCCTGGTGACCGGTGTTTCGTCCCTGTCCTTCTCATTTCCTCCTCCCCCTAGGTTTTTCCTCTGCACTGGTAGGAAAACAAAAATCCAAAAGGGCAAATATTTGGCTCAGGTGATAATAAGGGGGAACCCAGGATCTGAACCCAGGTCTTGATGGCTCCCAAATGTAAAGCTTTGAATGATGACTTTTCAACTGGGACCCGCCAAGTGAGGAGGCCAGTTGGAAAGATTCTTGCTGAGAAGGATTTAAGAAGTTTCCGCAGCATTGAGGAGGGGGCTGGATCAGAGAAATGATCGTCAGTCGCCTTCATTTCTCTATAACATTTTTAGTGAAGTATTATTTACATATGATAAAATCTCCTCATTAAATGTAAGTTCAATTATTTTGAGTAAATCTACAGAAGGGTACCACCATGGCGACAGTCTAACTTTAGAACATTTCCATCACCCCCACCCCGAATATCCCTTGTGCCCACTGACCATTCCCTGGTCATTCCCACCCAGGGGTGGATGGAACTGATGTTTATAATATCATCAACTTCGCTTCCTTTTGGGGGGCTGTTCCTCACAAGGTGGTATGTGTGACAAAGGAAGAGGCTGTGGCCTTCAGAGATGGCGGGAGGAGCCAGAGCCACACCCACAGGCAGGACTGGAACTCAGAGCACTCTCCAAAGGAGCCCGGGAGCAGGTCCAGAGGAAGTGGATTTGAAAAGACATGGGACTTGTAAGTAACCCTAGGCTGAGGGAAAGACATTTCGGTATAAATCTAAACGTTCAGAGACACTGAAACCCCCAGTGAGKGGTTTGTGGATGGAGGTTTTGAAAGTCCAAGAGGAGAAGAAGCACGTGGAGTCGAGAACTCGGAGGAAATGCTGAACTTCAACAGGTGGATCTTCTCTTTGGAAAGGAAGGGTTTTTACAGAATGACTGCGCAGCCTTGTCCTTGAATCCCCACGTTGTGTCAACAGAGCTGCCCGGGAATCCCGTGGGCACCTGTTACCTGTGTGGGCACCGGGCGTGTTGGGCTTGGTCTGTGGGTTTGAATTGGTGCTTGTCCACCTTCTTCATCCCCTTTTCTGTTTGGAGAAGGAAACCTGGGAAGGGGCAGTGCTGCCTCCCACCCTAAAACTGGAAAAGTTCAAATACGCGTCTTCCTGTGTCACCTGAAGCAGGTTGTGAGCCATGGCCCCGGCCCAGCCACCCAGGGACCCCACCCTAACCTTTGAACCAGGTACCCAGGATCCCAGGAAGGGGATTAATGGGGTATTTACCTTAGCAAAGGCTCCAGAGTGAGGCCAGTGTCCAGGCACAAATGAGGACAGGGATCAGTACAGTGTCATCGTACCCTCCCTGGACAGGACATACGGGTGATTTTTCACTCTGCTTTGTTTCCCCCGCCTCCCTGTCTCCCACCGCTATGCTGAGCCTAGCTCTGGGATTTCTCTGAACTTCAAACAGCCAAAGGATTTCCTTGGCTAAAAATCCTAATTGAGCCAGGTGTGGTAGTGCACACCTTAATCCCAGTGGCTTAGGAGGCTGAGACGGGAGGATCGCAAGTTTGAGGCCAGCCAGTTTGAGGGAGACCCTGCCTCACAATAAAAACATAAAAAGGACTGGGGGTATCCCTCAGTGGTAAATCCTCAGTACCCAAGGAGGAGGGAAATATGAATAGAGGCCGTGACCCTGAGCAAGTAGATTAGCCCATTTGAAGAAGATGATAACGTGTGTCTCATACTGTGACTTTCAAGTGATAAAGTGTCCACCGCAGGACTGGCAGGAAGTAGTCAATACATTGTARTTATGATTTCTGTGTTTGGGGGTGAGGGAGGAGACCGGGCCTTGAACTGTCTTAGGGAAAATGCAGCTGGTTCTTCTGCGGGGTAGGGGTTTAGGGCTGGAGAAGAGGGGGGAGGTCTAGTGGGGGTRAAAGAGGAGCACTGGACCTGGAGCTACCAAGGTGGGACCTGTGAGCAGGGCTGGAGGCCCCAGGAGGGAACCTGAGCACATGCACGGGCCACCAGCAAGGCGGGGGCCAAAAACACAGTCAGAAAATCTAAAGCACCCCTGAACTTCAGCTTAGAGGAACGGTCTAT